TTTAGGTAAAGCCTATTTTAAGCCATTTTGACGTGAAGAGGCTATACTCGAGTAATCCTGTTCGATGGAGCGGCTATCCGCCGTCGCACGAAAGCTGGGTGCCTCGCGCCCAGCTAGTTATTGACGTTGGGGGTCTCATCCACCAGTGCGACGAAACACATCCGATAAATTAAGAGGTCCATCGAAGGACACGCGCCCATGGACCTGGTAGAGCGATTGTGGGTTAGCATTTGCATCGCGCATCTCAGAAGAGATGCACGCCCTACCCAAGGGAGCAGAATGGGAGTTCGCAGCTATTCGGATACTCTGCGTTATGTCAAAACAAAAGTAAAACGGATCGCTCCACATAAGGCATGGAATTCCTGCCTTACGAGACAGATGGTGCAACCTGAATAAAGCACATATTGAGAATCTTTTCTCAAACCTGACCTGACACGATCTGCGTCAAGTTTTTGTAGCCAGGCATCACGCCCAATGTGTTGTGCATGAAGTATGAAGGCCTTCTACGCCTGCAGCTACGATCTTTTATCTCGTTTTGTGTTGTCGCTGCACCAAAGATGCTTGAACAAAGCATCGAGATTAAATTTCTCTTCAGCAAAAACGTTTGTCGCGCTATAGTCGATGCCGTGCAACGTCTTTGCATCGCATAATGAAATTGGATGGTGTTGACTTGTCTCTCCTGACAATTCATTTAATAATCCTTTCTGGTAGTACTTGAGTCTTGTTTTTGAAGGGCTTTACGCACCACATTGTCCTCTAAAGCCTCCTGCGTGGTACCAACGAGAGTCTTGGTACCACTACAATCGTTATCACGACGTTGCAGCACATCACCGTATTCTCCAGGAAGCGAATGTGCAGTAGCAAGAGCATTAGTTGAGTTGAGTTAGACTGTTCATTCTCCAAGCTAAACGGGCTCTTGTAGTGACCATGAGCCTGACTACCCGCTCGAATCCTATTCCTAGGCTTGCAATCGGTCTTCCTTTCAGACTCGGGAGACCTAGGCGTCTTCTTCAATTCCGACCCACCGTATGACTCTACCTAGAAGATGAGATACACTTGGAAGCCCTTATTATTTGCAAATGGTAACTCAACGAGTGCCTCTGCAGCTTTTGGTGCAGCAGAAAGATTCGCAACAGAAGCAGAAAAAAAACATCGTCTGCCACGAGAAGCTAAGCATCGTCAATAGCAACTATGTGAGCAGCTTCCGCCGCACTACCCATGGAGTTGATCACCATACAACGAAGATCCAAAAAATGAATAGATCAAACCAAAACAAGTTCTTTCTGTCTCCGGTGCGGTCTAACCATGACTACAATAATATGATAGTGACTGAGTGACTATCGTTATTTGTTGATGTTGTTTAGTTATTTTTACTTGTAGCTGTATGTTGGTGGGGTGGTAATTAACTAACAAATTTTATATTTAGTCCTTTAGAACAATTTAAAATTTTCAAATAAGGGTTATGATAAACAGAGAGGGCCTGTTACATGTGATTAACCTTGACACTTGTAAAGCATAATCTTGTTATTAAGGTTGAGAATCTATGTGAATATTACATATGGAGTAAAATTTAGAAACGCTCCCAATTGGCTGATATGGCTCATCATATCAGCCAGCTCTAGTGGTCTAGTCATCGAAGGACGCGCGCAGTGATTGGCGAGCAAGATTTTAGCTTACAATTTTATAGATAAAAATAATGAGTTCAGTATAAACATAGGCAGATGTATTTAGGACCTAATAATGTTTAAAACAGTTAAACTTTTAATCTTATTGAGTGCGTCGATCATCAGTTAGCCTTCATCTTCACGTACAGTGTACGTGAAGTGACGCGCGGCCATACCTACAATGGTGTCAGGATAGATGCTTGGGTAATGAAGCAGTACTACTGACCAGTGCCCCGTTACATGCCTTGTGCTGGAAGGTCACATCAGAGTGGAAACGATCTAAACACGCGTAACATTTTTGCGTACAATACGGCAGATATAGATTAATAATATGGTGAGAAAGATGTGTACACACGACATCTCGAAGACGGACGAGTTAGTTGCACGTTGCTAGCAGCAAATACCGACTTACCAATACCACGACAATGCGCTTAACTTTAGCACTAGTAAAAACTTTTGGGACGCTTTTATACTAAATGTTAAAAAATCTCAGTGAAGCTTCTACTTAAACTTTAGCGAAGTTAAGATAGGTTCTTTTGGCTGCTGCACGTCCTACAACTAGCAGATGACGTCATGTCTGGAAGCAAATACATCCGTGTTTTGGTGCTAGTGATATTTTTGGGGGCAATTCCGTTTGAGCTACGTCAGTGTGGTACCGTGGCTCGTACTTGTCGTAATTTACGATACAAATGATAAGATGTATCGTTTAGCAATGTTATGTGATAACGGGCCAGCCTTTTTAACTGAATGCGTACAGTGTAATGATTACGATTCGTCCGCAAATGGCGATTGAAAAGTATTGGTTATGTACGTCTGTTTACTGGGAGTTACACCTGAAAATGCATTTGTCTGTCTGTTAAAGGATTATGATTCGCCCCGAGGTGGTAATTTTAGTGCATGTAGCTCCTTCCCTATAAGCCAATATTGATAACACTTTTTGGGTCCCGTTATGAGGGGTGTTCAGATAGCAAAAAGTGAGTGTGTAGACAACCATTCCCTCTATATTTGTATTGAACCTGTTAAAGTTAAATCTCAATGTAAGAAATTTGTGCTTAGTATCGGTTGCGCAATCGCTGGATGTGTCTGGTCGGTGTATTCAGCAGGTAAATGTGACATCTTTCACACTTCGAAATAAAATCGTTTGCGCTTAGACAAAAAGACCAACATTTCTGTTTTGACTATCTTTTGAAAAAATTTGAAAAGCTTTGGCCAATTTATGATAATGGGGTATATTAGCGAGACATTGTGATGACTACCTCATTTGTTGCGTTACAATTTTTAGTGTCGTCGGTCTGTTCTTGCTACTTTACTCTGCTTTTATTCGATCGAATCCGACACGTGGTTTGCACAGCCTATTTTTGTACTCTTGAGCACCCGAAGCCTGACAGAAGAGTTAACGCTCGTCAGATTGACTTACTTTCGTCGCCGTTGTACTCATTTCTTACTTCTAATGGGCCCCAAATCTATTAAGTTCGCATATTGCAAGGATCCGGTAGATTTAGTTCGAAATCGAGCCGACACTCAGCAGGTCTGATCAAATTTTTTTTGTTATTTTAAGAGCCATGAGTTCAAGTAACCGGTTCATGACCCGTTCTACCCGCTTCGATTCTTTCCGTTAGTATGACTGGGCAGGATGAACCCAAATCATGGTCCTCCAAAACTTCGGACAGTGGAGTAATAGCCCATTTTCCTCAGACCCGCCATTTTTATTTACTCTTACGTGCGCTGCCATCCAATACATCTTTTTTTCGTTGCAGCAACAAAATAATCATTACTTTAAAGATAGCAGCCCTTGGTGCCGCCGATGGCATTGTCTAGCCCTTGTAGCGCCTACGTAAAGACAACAACCACCTTAGCAAGTTGTAATGACACTTGAAAACGCGCTTAGCGTGACTGACCTTGTCAGCTTGCAATAAGAAGGTAAAGTACCAAAGGATACCGAATAAATACTTGTAAGTTCGGCTCGTACCACTATTTGTTCCGAGCAATGATGACAAAGCCCGCTCGATTTAAGTGTCAAGGGCTACTGCCTCGAATGCCCCACCATATAACGCAACTGCCGTCATATGTAGCGTATCGATTTCTCAGAAATGTACATCAGTAGATGTTCCATCATCTAGAGTGGTGTCATTTAAGTTCATTCAAGGCAAACTTGGTAATGGCTTACTTTAATGGCGTACACGAAAGTGCGCTCAGCCACGTGCATCATATTTGTAATAAGCGGCACCGGAGAATTGACAAGTGCTCGTAATTGACAAAAGACGTGACGGAGCATCCGCTTATCTCGATCGCAGTGCACTTTGCAAAACGATTTGGATACGAAACGCTTCTTTAATGGACACTCAAAGGTTAAGCAGGTCAACTGATAGGAGTGCGAGCCTGAGTGCTGCATTGTTGTCTACTAATTTTCTCGGGTAGCATAGCTACTGGCTACGCAGCTGATTGCGGATAGGTTGTCGCCGATATCTCTCACTTAAGTCACTGTTGATGCGGAGCTACACATCTTAAGTCAGAGGAAGACTTAACGCTCTACGAGCAACTTAGTTCCAAAGAACCAACGACTTTACGAGTCAACAAGCTTTACAGCTTCAGACCCCTGTTCCAGAGGACCTGAAAATTCAGTGAATCGACAGCACTCAGTGCTCAAGAGTAGCTACCTCAAGGAGGTGTTGCTAACTTTTAGTGATCAGTGATCAACGATCAAGACGGCTTGCAAGCCACGTGTCCTTTAGATCAAAATGGGAACTGATTTTATTTCTGTTAACGCTTATAGAATATCTTATTCCTACTCAAAGATCTTTCGTACCTAATGGCTGACACTCGTCAGCCCCTACAAACCGATAAGATATTCTATATCACCTTCACAGAAGCGAACCCTCAGGTGTGTAACACCTCTGGTACAAAGTACCATAATTTCGTGCAACCCCGTTACACCCTCCCCCACCAGACTGAAGTTTGCCAAAACGTCAATCAAACTTGTGTTGTCAGCGAGAACAGTGCGCGTACGGTGAACCTCACGGTAACGTACGCTCCAGCACGATGTCCTCATCACCAAACGAGTCAAAGGCTCTGTGTGACTACCTCAGAATAGAGGACGAGGTGGACTATAGTAGCGATACCAGTGCCCGCGGTGATACAGGGACAATGTCCGGCTCACTGATGCCTGTGGCACAACCTTCGAACACCCCAAATCCGTTCGCTGAACGTGGAGATGCGAGCGCGCCACCAGCGCAGCATGCAGCATCTGGGTCTGATGAGACTATCATCACGAACCCGCTCGATTAGCAACAACAACTGCTTGTCCAAAGAGAAGAAAACGCTCATCTTTATGTACAAATGGCTGCAACCCTTGAACGCCAGCGTGACTATGTGCTCACCCCACCCAGTGTGGAGGAACGTCTATGTCTAGCGGCCGGCCAAACATTGGCAACGTGGGTCATTGGCCATGGGCCTAAGACTCCTGAGGAGGTGGTGAGCTGCCAGGCACTTCGTGAGAGGTACCTGGAGACGCACCGAACGACTCAAAGTCAGTACAAGGCACGCCTTGACATGCAAGCGCGTGGTACACCGGTTCCACCGATCAAGGGTATACCCATTCTCTTTCTCGCAGGCGAAACAGTAAGCGAAGAAGACAATGCCTTCGTTCACTGGGTGCACTATGTGCGTCGCCTCAGCAACAGTTTTGCTCTAAGGGTTAGTGCCCATGCGGCTGATGTGCGTCTCGAACGCAAGCTTCGGTATGATTATGCCAAGCTTAAGGCCAGAGGCCAATTGCGCAAGCGCACGCGCTATGCTTCGGCTACTAAGGTAGCCGCGAGTGCTGGTCAGTCTGTGGCCAACAACCCGCCAACCCGCACCATTAGTGGTGCGGATAACGGCCTCGGTCTCGAGATGACCATGGCCACGATGCTCAAAAGCCTCGAAAGCATATGGGCAGTCTTGCCGCAGAGGTACCTCAAATTCCCATGAATTTTCAGACTCAGGGTACCCACGCCACTTTACCAGATACTGGTATTGGCCCTGACGACGACGTCGTTTCAGTAGTCTCTCGACATGAAATTGACGACACCCATGCTCATCGAGCAAAGTCGGTGGCGGCCGGTGTACCGGTGGAGGCCCACGAGAAATTGGTTCTCGAAGTGAAGGGTCTTCAAGAGGCCTTGGGTAAGTCCTAGTGCATGCTGGATGCGATGCAAAGCCCCCTTCAGGCGATGGAGCAAGCTCAAACTCGGAGCGAGGCTCAGTTGGACTTGCTGATTTGCCTGCAGCAATCCGGGGCAGTGCCCTTGTCGTCGGCGCAAGCGCCTCCAAGTTCACATGAAAAATCCCGGTACGGCTTAAGTAAGCCTACGTAGAACACTGGATGTGTGCGCAATTTGCGCGGGAGGTTGTGCGTATACGCAATTCCCTTCTTGGCCGTGACCGTGAACGGTCCAATAAAGCGTGGACGCAACTTTGTCTTAAAGACAGCAGACACTACATTTGTAGGTAGATTTTTAGCATTGAGTAGTACTTGGTCTCCGACCTCATAACGTTCAATACAATTTCTGCCTTTGGCATCAGCTTGTTGTTTTTGAGTATCTTGGCTATCAGCCATTGCGTCACGCACATGTCTTAAGACATTTAATCGCGTTGCGAGAAACTCGCCTACCTGTTTTTGAACAGTAGTAGGGCTGATATCAGCAAGCCGATCGGCAACCTCTCCCCCACCAAGCCCTGACTCACTTAGTGATAGCGTTAACGGAACGCGAGGGTGAGTGAGACCATTTAAATAGAACGGAGTAAAGCCTGTTGAGGCGTGAACAGCGTTATTCAACGCAAACTCAACAGCAGGGAGCATTGAGCTCCAACGCCTAGGCGTATCAGCGCAAATACTGTGCAAAATGTCATTGATGACGCGGTTAACACGCTCAGTTTGACCGTCGTTCTGCGGATGATTCGCTGTGGACATGTCCAACCGAGTGCCAAGGACCTTGAAGATAGACTTCCAAAAATTCCCAGTGAAGCGGGATTCTCTATCAGAGATAATTGCCATCGGCAAGACATGTTGGCGAAACACATGGTCGATAAACAGCTTTGCTGTACCTTCAGCATCGATGCTATCCGGCACAGCCGCTAAGTGAGCCATCTTGCTTAATCGGTCAACAAAGACCACAATACCTGTGTTGCCTTACGAATCTTTCGGTAGGCCAAACACAAAATCCATACTCATGGACTCCCAACACTCAGTAGGTACTGGCAAACTAGCCAGCAGCGCCCCCGCATGTGCCGAGGGTTTAACCCGTTGATACGTTTCGCACGTACGCACATAGGTGCGCACCCACTTATAAAGTTTGGGCTACCAATAACTTTGGCTCACCGAGCTATAAGTCTTCTCACGACCGAGATGACCACTTAAAGCAGTATCATGTGCCTCATGGAGGATCCGATACTTTAATTCCTAATCATGAGGTACAGCGATACGAGGCTTATCCTCAATATCCGTGCGATAGCACAACATCCCATTATCGATGGAATATCGATGTAGCCTCGCACGTAAACGTGACGACGATTCTATGTCCGAGTCTTTAAGCTCATCGCTCCCAAGAGCACGTAGCAAAGCTACACACTGATCGTCATTGGCATGTGCCGCACGAATTAAGTCAGGGACTGACGAAGACAGAGTCGTAACATGATCAAGCTCATAGTCAGGTTGACGCGATAGCGCATCAGCCAAAGCATTTTGCTTACCTGGCTTGTACTTCACCTCGAAGTTATATTCGGCAAAGAAGGAAAGCCAACGAGCCATTCTCTGTGAGAGATGAGGCGACTGCGTCGCAGTGCGTAATGACGCATGATCTGTATAGATCACAAACGGCTTGGAGCCAAGCAGATGTACTCTGAATTTGACAAGAGCGTACTTCATAGCAAGTAGCTCTTTGTCATGAACAGGATAGTTCTTTTCAGCAGCTTTCAGCTGTCGAGATTCAAATGCGATGACGCGTTCGCGTCCGTCGACATCTGTTTGTAACAGAGCACTGCCTATGGCAAAGTCAGATGCGTCACAGACGACACTGAAAGGCCGACCAGAATCGGGCAAAGCCAATATTGGCGCATGAAGGAGACTCTCTTTAACTGCTTCAAAAGCATTATGTTCGGTGTTACCCCAACACCAATTCACATCCTTTTTAAGGAGATGTGACAATGGCCGAGCCATATCTGCGTATTTTGCACTGTACTTATGTAAGTAATTGACAAGGCCAAGCCACTTACGCAAGTCCTTTTGGTTCTTGGGAACCGGCCAGTCGACTATGGCTTTCACCTTAGCGGGATCCGCTCGAAGGCCTCGCTTCCCAATGAAGCACCCTAGAAAGGGAATCTCTTCTGCACCAAAGATGCACTTCGATGCGTTAGCATACAACTTATTCGTCCGCATACACTCGAGCGCAGCTCGTAAATGATCAATGCGGTTATCCACCTCTGATCGCCCATTCATTGCACGACTATGGAAAAAAATGTCATTAAATTACGTTTGTGCATAGCCTCGATGAGGTCTGAATAGCTGCGTTACCAGCCGGTGAAACGTAGCCGGGGCGTTAGATAGCCCTTGTGGCATAACAAGCCACTCCCAGAGCATACCGCTCGGGGTACTCACCGCTGTTAGCGGAATATCGCTTGCTCGCATAAGCAGTTGGTAATAACCATCGACTAAGTCGAGTGCACTGTACAATGTACATCCTGCCATATTGTTCTGAATCACATCCTTTCTAGGAATAGGCGTCTGCGCCGGTATAGTGGCTGCATTAAGCTTATTATAAGCATGCACAATACGCCACTTGCCATTTGGCTTTCTGACACAAAATGTCGGTGTTGAATGGGGAGATTTACTCTCACGAACCATTCCAGCCGCGTGCTTAGCACGAAAGAAATCGTCAATGACGTCACACTGTTCTTTAGGCACAGGCCACTGCCGTGTTACACAGTATTTAGTTCCAGGAACTAAGTCAATCTCATGACGTACACCTCTATCGGGAGGTAAGGCAGAAGGTGGGTTGTGACACACCACATCTTGAAATTCCTTAACTAAAGGATAGAACGGACCCAAAGGATCTTTAAGGATCGAAGATCCACTTCGTGCACTAAGTGCCGCCTTTGTATCCTCTAGGACAGACTCATCCATTAACGAGGAAGAATTAAACTCAGTATCAGGTCTAATGACCGCTAACTCGGATAACTCCTGCACTCAAAGCCTGGCTAAACTCGCCATCAGACATTTCGTCTAGCTCACAAAGAGCGTCCACAGATGGAAGGGCTTCAAGGCAAACACTGCCATCAACCTGACCAGTCACCCCATTAACAAGTGTGCATAGTGTATTACTATTATCACTATGTGACTGTGAGGACGCCTGGCGCTTAAAAGTAGCTACCCGGCGTCTCGATCGTCTCTTCGAGACCTTACACCCCTTAGAGGTCGGGACAATATTGTCCCCATGGTTACTACCAACCATAGTACGCTCTATACGAGAGCTTTTGTCTTGACCGACATCCGGTGAAGTGTTACATAACTCGAACACTTCACCCAGTGGATTGAAACGTGCCACTCCACGTGTATTATGCGGGCCTAGCCCCAAATTTTTTTTAAAAAAATTTTTTAACGGCGTCTCGCCTATAAGGTCATTACCGACATTTTTTGTGGTGCCCTCACGGCCGTCCATACTATACGGCGTATCGCCAACAGTGTCATTACTGACATAAGGTGTGGTGCCCTCACGGCCGCCCACACTGTATGGCGAATCGCCAACAACGCCATTACCGACGTTCAGTGCGGTGCTCTCACGGCCGAACGCAATTGTTGAAGTTTCACGTGCCACCATACACACATCAAAGGAATCACGTCCTTGATCACTAGGCCCTAGGCCAATTATGCTTCAGCATGAAGTGACTCGTTATCACAACGAGCAACACTCAACGGAGTACGTGCCGTTTCACTAGTTCAGACGAGCTAGGCTCGAAACTTATGTTTGTAACACTGGAGTTCGATAACTCAGACATTCCAATATCCAGCACATTGACATCTTCTGTCAAAGGCTCGTGCCAATAGCGCTTCTGTTGCCTAGCAAAGGTGGGTTCATGACTCTCCAAAGCTTCGCTAGGAACATTCCGCGTAGCGCCTAAGGTCTTGGACCTCCAATCAATCCATGGCTCATGGCGCTCAAGCCAAGCCATACCTAGGATGAGATCATATCTCGAGTCCATATCTAGGACAAGACAGCGCTCAATACTGTCAAAGTCTAAAAACTTTATACCTAAGTTCAATGGAACTTTAGGCACAGTTACGCGACTTTCGGTCGCTAAACGAACCGTGATAGAATCACCCTCATGCGCTGTAAGCGCCTCAGCATAACGCTGACTTCCCTCAAGGGAACGGCGTCGAGCATAATTGCAAGACGCTCCAGAATCGATCAATTTTGACCAAGGCTTCTCAAAGCCCTTAATTTTTGCCTCGGCGACCAGCAAGCCAGACTTGTATCCACGCACCGTACCTGTAGGTATGGTACCCTTTGGGGCTAAGCCCTGCATTCCTTTACCTTCTAAAGGTGTAACAGAACCTAGTTCTCCCCCAGTAGGGTGCCCCGCGCCTACTGGGTGTCGGCATTTCCCCGTGCCATGCCAGACTTCTGACTCGGAGTCGAGTGTTGGCTCGTAGCCTGGCGTTGCTTACGCAAAGGGCAACCAGGCCGCAACTGTTTAGTGATTCCGCACGTTAAACATCGTCGTACGACGTGTTGCTACTCAGCAGCCTGAAGCTCAGCTTCACCTCCATCTTCGGCATAGCTGAGATCCATCGGTTCCGGCCTATTATAGGCAGTGGTACCCGAAAAGTTTGCTCTCACAGAGCGAGGATTGTATCCATGCCAACCGAGTCTGGCCGACTTGAAGTTATGCTCAGCATTAAGAGAAATTCTCACAGCCTCTTCAAACGTAGAGGG